TTACTGTTAAACAAAGTTTCTTTTTGTGCCATCATGGGGTAAGAAAACTGTATAAGGATTTCACCAGAGGCCCACAGTTCTGGCCTGGAGGAAAGCACCAAAAAGAAAAAACAAAACCAAAAACCACACACACACACACACACAAAACGGGTGAGAACATCCTCTCTTTGCCACCTTTAGTCCTATACTAGACAGATAATTGAAGACCCTCACCTCCTAGCAGTTGGCAGGAGCGGGACACATAATATCCATATATACAGCCTGGCATTGCAACTCATGACACATACAAAGGACAGCAAGATTCTTTTGGATTAACTCTGCCTTTTGATATCTTGATGTTAGTTTCATGGTGGTTTAAAAAAAAAAAACTAGTAAGATCTGCCAGAGAGACGGGAGTGACCTTTAATTTTGGCAGATCCTAAAACAGTCCTTTTACGGGATGGAGGAAGAGTTTTCCTTCGACATGCTTCAGTAGTATCTGTGATAAATATGTCAAACCTCCACATCTGAGTTAATTTATTCCTTCTAGTCCCTCCTTTTTTTACCTCATTTTCTATTACTTTCCCCCTTGCCCATTGGTCCAATAACAGGTCGAGTCGGTAGTGTCCCCAGTGCTTAGACACATCGTGCCTGACACATAGTAACTACTGATTAGCCAAAGGTCAGTCAGAAATAACAATTCGAGGGGCGCCTGGGTGGCTCAGTGGGTTAAAGCCTCTGCCTTCAGCTCAGGTCATGATCCCAAGGTCCTGAGATCGAGCCCCGCATCGGGCTCTCTGCTCAGCAGGGAGCCTGCTTCCTCCTCTCTCTCTGCCTGCCTCTCTGCCTATTTGTGATCTCTGTCAAATAAATAAATAAAATCTTTAAAAAAATAACAATTCGAGAGGTTGGATATGCAAGCCATGCATGGCCATATTACATGATACCGTGTTACACTGTGACACTGGGGTCCAAGGCAAAGCCAGGCTTAGCTTGTTTTCATCGCTCTGAGCAACACATCTGAATGCAGGAGATCTCCCAAGTGAGAATAAACCAAATTTAATTTCTGACCTACCATGATACCCCCTCATCCTGGTAGACTGAAATGCTGAGTTGGCATTCTCCGTCTCGTGCTGGAATAAAAATAGGCTGGGTTTTACACCTGAGATATTTATATTCAGGCTAAGGACTGTTCTGAGGAACAGTTACAATTTGTCTGGACCCACAAAATCTACTCGGAAATAGGTATCTTGGGACATCTGGATTGCTCAGTCTTTCAAGTGTCTGCTTTCGGATCCCAGAGTCCTGGGACTGAGCCCTCCCTGCTTCTCCCTCTCCTCCCTGCTTCTCCCTCTCCTCCCTGCTCATGCTCTCTCTCTCTAATAAATAAACTTAAAAAAAATTTTAAAAAGGGAAACATATTCTAAGTCTCTGACTCTACCTTTTAAAATGATCACTTGTCACCTGTTGGTAAAATACAATGTTACTATCACAATCAACTTTATATTCTATATCAGACTTATCCGCCCTACCAACCCACTTCAGCTAGAGAAAACTCATTCACCATCATTCTTTGTAGGCTACCAACCATTCAGTTTCTGACTCTGCCCACAGAGGGTGTTTTTACAACCCTCCAGATGCCCTGAAACTTGTACTAACCTTCCCACCATGCAACACTCAGAGAATGACAACAGAGTGACATCTTTACTTTTCCTGCTGATTTTGCAGAGAACGCACCACAGTTCAGTGTTGGACACCAACCAATCCATAGTGGTGATGGCACTCCCCTTGACACTCGTGTACCCCCTGCCCCCACTGAAATAGCAGCAGCCAACCGGCACCTGGGTAAACTTTAGGCAACCCAGTGGGAACTTGAGGACAGCCTCTAGCTGGTAGGATGGTCAGAACACATCGACGAAGGTCGCCTGTTGGCATGATCGTTCCAACCGAATCATTTGCCCATGCTGTTAGTAGGTACGGTGGTTTGAAGACCCATCCACAGGTTCTCTGGTACTCCTTGCGAGGGATGGAGCCTAATCCCCCCCACACCCGGAAAATTAGTGACCCCTAAAAGAAGAAAGCGGAACTGATCGTCATGTCAGAGCCTGGGTCACGGAAGGCCCTGTGGCTTCCTGCTTGTGCTCTCTTCTCTGGTCACTTGCCCTGAGGGAAGTCAGTTGCCATGTCCCAAGGCCCTCGGGTCATCCTATAGAGAAGCCCACGAGGTGAGGAACTCAGGCCTTTTCCAACAACCACTGAGGAACTGAGGCCTCCTGTTCAAAGCTCTGTGATGCCCAGAGCCATCTGGGAAGTAGATCCTTTCAGAGCTGGTCAGGCATCCAGATGCCTAGCGGCAGCCAGCATCTGTATCCCCAGAACACTGGGGAGAGACTGCCCAGACCAATTTAAGAACCCGTGGTCCTCCCTGTTTTTGTGTTATTTTTTTCCTTGCCTTCCTCTGTGTTCATCTGTTTTGATTCTTAAATTCCATATCTGAGTGAAATCGTACAGTATTTGTCTTTCTCTGACTTATTTTGCTTGGCATAATACCCTCTAGTTCCATCCGTGCTGTTGCAAATGGCAAGATTTCATAAAAACAGAGAGGGAGACAAATCCAAAGAGACTCTTAACTCTAGGAAACAAACTGAGGGCTGCTGGAGGCGAAGTGGTGGGGGGAATGGGGTTACTGGGTGATGGGCATTAAGGAGGGAACTCGATGCAACGAGCACTGGGTGTTATACACAACCGATGAATTATTAAATTCTACTCCTGAGACTAAAAACAAAATTAAAATTAAAATTTTGGAGCTTTTAAAAAATGCATAAAATAGGGCGCCTGGGTGGCTCAGTGGGTTAAGCCGCTGCCTTCGGCTCAGGTCATGATCTCAGGGTCCTGGGATTGAGTCCCGCATCGGGCTCCCTGCTCAGCTGGGAGCCTGCTTCCTCCTCTCTCTCTCTCTCTGCCTGCCTCTCTGACAACTTGTGATCTCTGTCAAATCGATAAAATCTTTTAAAAAATGCATAAAATTAAAGAAAAAAAGAATCTGCAATCCTCCTTAGGAAATCCATTTAGAGAGCTGAACTTTTCAACCACAGACCTTAAGGGTCTGAGGGGCAGGGTCTGTGTTCTTTGGCTGTAAAACCCACACCACGACTGGAACGATTCCGCTGCTATTCCCCAAAACACTTGAGATTTTTCTTTCAAAGCCCCTTTGGAAAGCTAACCATTTCAGCTATGGACACTTTGCTAAACTTAAAATCATTAAAGACATATTCTTTAACTGTTCATTTAGATAGAAAGGGCCCTCTCCCACCTCCCTGTAACACCTACAACTGACATGCAGCGGCCCAGGCAGCAGAAAGGAGCTTGACCCACACAGTGCCCCTGGTGAGGGGGTCAGACTGGAGGGGCCCCATCCTGGTGCGCTGCCTTCTAGAAAGCCAGGCTTGGGGGCTCATGGTCCCAGAGGGCCAGAATGCAGAGCAGAGCACCAAAGTTCCTCCCAATTACCCAGGTCAACCTTTCCGACCAAGCCAACAAAAATGATGCCTCCAGTTAAGAGAGCATCTAAGTCACAAATTTCTCCGTTCATCTGTATACCTTATATTTGGTACTAGGTGCCAAGTATACACAGCAGAAAAAACAACAGCAACAAAATTACAGAAGTTGTGACATGGATCTTTGACATACGGCACTGTTCCGCCAGACTAATTTTTTTAAAAAATAGCTTTACTATTGTTATAAAATTGATATATGCTCTTTGTTAAAAAGTAAAAAACATATAAGTACACGAATGTATTACACACCCCACATCCCACTTACTAGAGATAAGCAGTTATCATACTAACCTTTCACACATTTTCATCTCTCTCTCTCTCTCTAAACATACGCACACAAAGCGTATTAACAAAACGGGGCCATATTAAAATGGTTCTCCAACTTTCCTGGTTCACAATATAATTTTTGGGCAACCTTCAATGTCAATGTAAGTGTATCTGAATATTTTTAGTGATTTTCATTCATTTACATGTGCCTTAATTTATTACACTTGGAGTATTAACTTTTTTTTTTTGCTATGCTAAGAAAAACGCTAATAAACTCAGCCATACGCATACATCTTTTTCCCATGTGCAACTATTTCCGGAGTATCACTTACTCCACACTTAGTGCCACTTCAAAGGTTAATACAAACTGAACTTGACACACTGACAAATTTTTTCCCAAAAAGACTACTTTTTTCACCCCACCAATAAATTCACATGTGTACGTTTCCATGGATTCCCCACCGATGGTGGCTCTGGTGACTATTTTACCACAGATGTTCCGACAAGTTAAAAGGGTGTTTCTGATTCTTTAAGATGCTCTAATGGTTGCCTTGTCTGGTTTAAGAACACTATGAATGAAACGGGGCAGAAGAATTATATTCATAACAATAAAATAAATTAAACTATAAATTCAGTGCAATGCCAACGGGCTTTTGCTTTTAAAACCCAATAAAATGACGGGCACCTGGGCGGCTCAGTAGCTCGAGCATCCGACTCTTGATCTCAGCTCAGGTCTTGATCTCGGGGCTGTGAGTGAGTTCAAGCCCTATGTTGGGCTCCACGCTGGGCATGTAGCCTACTTAAAAAAAAAACAAACAAAAACAAACACAAAACAAAACAACCTGATGAAATGAAACGGCCCCACAGTTCAGTATTTCTCTAGGAGAGCAGTTTATCTCTAGGAGATAAAACACGTTCACCGCAACGGGACATAAAAAGCGTGATGGAGACACATCATCCAGACCTGCAGGGAAGGGGGCCCTCCCACACCCTCCCTCCAACTGTTCAGGCTCTTCTAAAAGCCACTGGCCTCAACCAATGGTAATGTCACTTTTTTTTTTTTTTTTTTTTTTTTTTTGTAAAAACCATCTTCTAAGACGTACACACAATATCGGTTTTGGTAAGGTAAGCACTCTTTCCTACATCTGTCCCATCCCATCTGTAGGTATTTCCACCCCCTGACCCCACAAGGAATCCATGCTCACAACCTACTCATTATCATTCATAAAAGCTTCTTCCTGGGCTAACTCTGATGAGAGTGACGATATTTACTGAGGCCCCGTCCTACTTCCTTGAGGACAATCCACTGTGCGACAGACTCTTGGGGACACTTGGGGACAGAAGCCTGGGACTTAAGTGCTCTTTCGTTTCTCAGCCTTCCGGGTCTTCGCTTCCCCTTCAGAAAGGGCCACCATGACCTGGCCAGCCCCCTTCCCACCAACCGTGGCCGACCCTACACACCATGTTCCCAAAGGCTTCCTCCCGTGCTGGCACTCGGGCGACTACAAAGCTCGGGGTGCCAGCCCCACACACGCCTACTTGTCGGGTTTCTCGCTGCCGTGCACCCGCTGATGGTTCCGCAGGCCTGAGCTGTAACTGAAGCCCTTCCCGCACTCCCCACACTTGTAGGGTTTCTCGCCGGTGTGGACTCTCTGGTGCACGTGGAGACAGGAGCTTCGGCCAAAGCCCTTCCCGCACTCCCCACACCTGTAGGGCTTCTCACCCGTGTGGACCCTCTGGTGACCCTGCAGGTGGGAGCTCTGACTGTAGCCCTTCCCGCACACGTCACACCTATAGGGCTTCTCCCCGGTGTGCACCCTCTTGTGACTCAGGAGCCCCGAGCCATATCGGAAGCCCTTGCCGCATTCGTAACACGTGTAGGGCTTCTCGCCCGTGTGCAGCCGCTGGTGGGTGCGCAGGTTGGAGCCGTAACTGAAGCCTTTGCCGCACTGGTCGCACGTGTAGGGCTTCTTGCCCGTGTGGATCCGCTGATGCTTGTAGAGGCTCGAGGTGCAGCGGAAGCCCTTGCAGCATTCAGCGCATCTGTAGGGCTTCTCGCCAGTGTGGACCCTCTGGTGGATGAGGAGCCCCGAGCTGTAGCTGAAGCCCTTGCCGCACTCGGCGCACTTGTAGGGCTTCTCGCCCGTGTGCGTCCTCTGATGGATGAGCAGGTCGGAGCTGTAGATGAAGCCCTTCCCACACGCGCCGCACACGAAGGGCCGCTCGCCCGTGTGGACCCGCTGGTGACTGTGCAGGTCCGAATTCCGCCGGAAGCCCTTCCCGCACTCGCCGCACTTGTAGGGCTTCTCGCCGGTGTGGACCCGCTGGTGCACGTGCAGGTCCGAGCTGCGGCCAAAGCCCTTCCCGCACTCGCACTTGTAGGGCTTCTCGCCCGTGTGCAGCCGCTGGTGCCTGAGCAGCCCCGAGCTGTAGCTGAAACTCTTGCCACACACGTCACACTCGAAGAGCCGCTGCCCGGTGTGGACACGCTGGTGCGCCTGCAGGTACGAGTTGTAGCTGAAGCCCTTGTCACACTTGTCGCACTGGTAGGGCTTCTGGGCCGCGTGCGCCTTCTGGTGGCTGCTGAGGTGGGAGCTGCAGGCGAAGCCCTTGCCGCACTGGCCGCAGCTGTAGGGCCTCTCCCCGGGGTGCGCGTGCTGGTGCTTGTGCAAGGCCGACCTGGCATAGAAGCCCTTGCCGCACTCGCTGCACGCGTAGGGCTTCTCGCCCGTGTGCAGCCGCTGGTGCACCTGCAGCACCGAGCTGTAGCTGAAGCCCTTGCCGCACTCGGCGCACTTATATGGCTTCTCGCCCGTGTGCACCCTCTGATGCACCAGCAGGTTGGAGCTGCGGCCGAAGGCCTTCCCGCACTCCTCGCACGCGTAGGGCTTCCTGCCCGTGTGCACGCCCTGGTGGATGAGGAGGATGGACTGGTACCGGAAGCCCTTGCCGCACACGTCGCACCGGTAGGGCATCTCGCCGGCGGGGGCCCGGGGCCGGTGGGGCCCGCGCGTGTTCTGCCTCGGGCCCCCACCCTGCTCTGAACTTTTAGAGGCTTTCTCCACCGAGGGAGGCCTCTGGAGTCTCTCAAGGTGGCCAGTCGGCCTCAAACCCGGACCCAACTCGTTTTTGTGGTTTCTCTCTCTCCAGGGCCCTCTGGGATCAGTGGGAACACGTGACTCTTCCCTGAAGTCACTTCCACATTCATTTCTTGTCTGGTCATGCTCTTGGGGGTCAGGGCAATGGTGAAGTACCAGCTTTTTAACGCGGTCCTTTCCACACTGACCACAATCACAGGGTCTCTCTGTTTTAGGTAACCTGTGGTCATTGTGACGTGATATCCAGCCGAAGCCATAACCGTCCCCCTCATGTTTATATATTATATCTTGCCTGTCAAATTTTTTACACCTTTCTCGACTGTTCCATGGCTCATTCACAAAGGCTTTCATCCAAGAATCTTGAGCGGGTACCGCTCTTACAGCTTTCCATGGTGGAAACACTCGATTTTCTGAACCGATGGGTCCCTGAAGACTGCCCACCAAATTGTCAATATGTGAACCCCGGGCAGGGGCTCCTTCCCACCCTTGGCAGTGAGAAGCGTCTTCTGAGAACTGGAAACTTCTCCCTTGAAGATTTCCTCTATGATTCCGACTCCCAGTTAATTCACCAGCCACCTGTTCCCAGATTTTCCAGCAGGAGACCTCTCTGTAGGAAAGGCCCTTTAATTCTCTTTCTGGAATATACTCCATTTCCTTTGCATTCTTGTCTCCTGTGGGGTGAAAGACAATTCAGAGATGAGGATAAACACAAGATGGCCAGGGATCTCAAGCCAAGTCAGGCTTTCAGACTCGGACCAGTAATAAGCCGAGAGCAAAATTCACCTATGTGTATCCTAACTACCAGGGCAATTCTTTTATGTCTGAAAAAAAAGAAGAGGGTCCTGGTAACACCCTTTGAAGCTAAATGTGAACACGATCCTATTAGTAACAAACTATATCTCATCATCTACTTGCCAAGCGAGAAATTCCCAACAGATTTCTGCAGAGAAAATTCACCTCTCCACGTACGGCTGTCGTTGCTAACAATAACGATAACATCCAACATTACTGCAACACTCCTCCATGTGCCAATGATCCCCCCCAGAATAACACCGATTCCCCAGACATTCCCCTTACCCACAGACAGCAGGTTCCTGAAGTTCTCCAGCATCACGTCTTGGTACAACTTCCTCTGGGAGGGGTCCAGCAGCCTCAGCTCCTCCTCGGTGAAGACCACCACCACGTCCCTGAAGGTCAATGGCTCCTAAAACGTGAAACACCGTTAACACCAACACCTGCCTGGTGAACAGTCAACTTGGAGTCACTGCGAAGAGTAGGCAAGCCAGCAGGAAGCTGCTCCACCTGGCAGGTCAAACCAAGTTTTGTTAATGTCTGATGCTAATAGTGTCCATCGTAAGCAACGGATCTTCCATGTTATCCCAAGAGCAAAGCACAGAACCCTAACTACTCTTCGCTCGGGGTAAGCACTTCTGAGGGCAATTCCATGGAACTACCATGCTTCATATGGTTGGTTCATTTAACTTAGGAGAATACCAACTTCTCCTCCACGACGACTGTGCCAACAGTGCGTAATGTTCGCGTGCATGTATCTGCACACATCCCCAAATCCCCTTCTCTGCCCGAACGATTGGTCTTCACCAACCAGTCCCTCGTCCCTCCCTCCCCCAGTGGCTGGGCAAATCCTGCTCTTTGCTCCCCTAGCCCCCCACCCCCTCCACACACACGTCTTACACGGGCCTCTGCGTCCGTGTTGAACAGAAGCAACCGAGGCATGTTTATGCAACTGTGTCCCCAACCTGCTGAGGCCCTACGAATCACGCTGTGTCATCCCCAGGTATGAACTGAGCCCCAAGGGTTTTTGTGAAGGAGAACTGGAGTGTGAACGCTTTACTAATGTGATACTCTGAGCACTGCAGAAATCACAGTGATTAAAAACCCTGTCCTCAGGGAGCCTGGCTGACTCAGTAGAAGAGCATGCTACTCTTGATCTCGGGGTTGTGAGTTCGAGCCCCATGCTGGGTGTAGAGATTACCAAATAATAGTAATAGTAATAATAATAATAATAATAATAATAAAAACTTGAAAAAACCCTGTCCTCAAGGAGTCTATAAATCAAGACACAGGTCAGCAATGGTCTTCGAAATCAGAGTCTGTGACCCCTTCTGTTCCGTGGACTGATTTGGCAGTCTGGTGATAACTATGGACGCTAACGCAGAACAATGTTGTAAATGCGGAAAATAAAACACAAAGGATTGTTTTAAAGGCTAATTATATGGGAATACAATGTTCAAAAATAATAAAACACAAAGGGTGTGCTTCTTTGTACACATTAAATATCAAGAATGAATCAACTACTGTATTTTCGAAACAGTCACGAGTGTAATACTTTGAAACATCTACATCAACTAAGACTTGGTGTGGCTAAAAACAAAAACAAAAACAAAGCAAAATCAGCAAAGGGAAAAGCCCTGTGGGGTGAAGTCTGGAGGAAGCCAGGTGACAAGGTGTGCTGCTGTAACCTATCGTAGCCATGACTACAACTACAAACTGAGCTCCTTGGGTCCGGCAAATCTCTGAACATGGGGGTGGTCTCAGGGACCCCTGAACCAGCAGGTGAAGTAACAGACAGAGGTCTAGTTCTAGCTGTATACCCAGTCTAGTTCCAGAGCCACTAAGCCTTCACAATGTCCTGTGAGGGCCAAAATGTGTATCACCAGGAGATCTGTAACGAGTCTATAAAGCAGATGATATTATAGCTTATATTTACAGAAAAATTACTGTAAGGCAGGCTCTAGCTTAACAATGTTCCTTAAAGATTTATTTATTTATCTTTCAGAGAGAGAGAGAGAGTGCACAAGCAGAGGGAGCGGCAGGCAGAGGGAAAAGCAGGATCCCCGCTGAGCAGGACACCGGATGCCAGACTCCACCCTCCACCCCATGATCATGACCTGACCCTAAGGCAGATGCTTATTGGACTGAACCATCTAGGCGTCCCTCTAGCCCAAGTATTTGTGTATGACTGACCTCACTTAATCCTGAGAACTCATGGAGACTGAGAGCTTTCTGGAGTGTTGGGAATGTTCTCTCGTCTGCTCTATTACCAGTAACTACCCACAAGGTAGTGACTAGTGCCACTGGTGAGAAACCTGGGGTCTCAGAAAGGCAACATTATTCATCAAAGACCATATATCTAAGAAGCAGTGAGTGAGGACTAGACCCAGGCAACCTCGCTTCTTCATGTGGAAACGACTCTGCTATCCTATCGTCCCAATGAGGTCAGAGGGGCCAGACCAGAGGAACCCACCTCCTGATTTTGGAAAAGGAGTGCCACTTGAGAGAGCACATTTCTGAGCAGAATCCTTGATTAATCCCAAGACTAGAGGAAGTGTAACGGTGGGGAGAAAGCTTGAGCCAGAGGCAATCCGTCTGACAATTAATTAAATTGACGTGGACTGCCATTAACTCCCAAATTTTTATACCCAGTCCTGCTGTCTACACTAAGCCCTGCCAACTCCAACTATCACCTGGGTGTCTAAAAGGTATCATGAAGCAGAAACAGCCCAATCAGAAGTGAGTCTCCCCTCCCAAATAGTCCTCTTCTAACCTCCTTGATGTAGGTAAACACAAGCACCGTCGACCTTCAAGGCATCCTTGATTCTTTCCTTTTCCTTATTTCTTACTCTAATTCATTAAAAAAAAATCTGCCAATTATTATTTCAAAGTAGACTTCAAATCTGCTTCTCCCTATCATTACTTCCGCCTCTCTAATCTGACTCGTCACTGTCGTTTGCTTAGATGACTGCAGAAACCTTCTCTCAATTCACCCGCCTATGCCCCTTAAGACACTTGAGAGCAATGATCTTGTTTTTAACCTGTCTGCTACCTGTCTCCCCCTTCTAGAACGCCAGCCCCACAAAAGCAGGAGCGTTCTATCTGTTTTGCTCTCGGATACATCACGAGGGCTTAGAATAATGTTTGGCCCACAGTAGGTGTCCAACAAATGTATGCTGAATGAGTAGGGAAAGGAAGAAAAAATAACTTCTCAACTTTGAAAGTTCAATGTTCAATATAAGTGGCAAAACAATTCATAGACGTCCAAGTAACTCAGGAGACCGGAGCACAGAATGCAGGAACAGTCCCGTAAAAGGAAAGCGAAGTCAACAATGCTTTCCTTCTTCCAAATGTATAATATATACACCTATTAAATATATAAACGTGTACATGTAGAAATATATACAAAATATATAAATGATAAAAGCAGTACTTTAGTCGACTTGCATATGAATGAGAAAGATAATAAACGGCATCGTCATGATTGGCTATCCATATTGAAGAGAATGAAACTGCAAACCTTATACCACTTACAAAACCAAGTTACAGCCATATTAGAGATTAAAACGTTTTTAATCTAAATAAAAACCCATTTACGTGTCTTTTGGGTTAAGCTTAGAACACATATGGCCTTTGGGAGCTAGGTACCGAACGAACCAGATGTTCAAAAGGGAACTAACCAATCATTTAACGAGGTGAAAATGTTACACTTCTTTATGGTCAACTCACCATTCCCAAAGTCAGGACTGAAAGAAAGTAACCATTTACACTTCGGATGGGTGAGTTAACAGCCCTACTCTTGAAAGAGCTCCTTTCATTAATTAATGCAAATGGGTGAAAGCCTTTCCTAAGCAATTCGCAAACGAAAAATACAACAGCAGCAAACATAAGGAAGAGCTCATCACACACCGACCATGGGACGAACTGCAAAATACACGGGAGGTCTCAGCGACACAGCCTCCTCCATCAGATTAGCAAAAATGTCTAGTACTGGGAAAGCCTTGGCGGGGGAAATCTTGCCAAAAAAATTTGATCAGAATTCTCAGAGGTGTAAAAATAAATAAATAAGGGGTGCCTGGGTGGCTCAGTGGGTTGGGCCTCTGCCTTCAGTTCAGGTCATGATCTCAGGGTCCTGGGATCGAGCCCCGCATCTGGCTCTCTGCTCGGCGGGGAACCTGCTTCCTCCTCTCTCTCTGCCTGCCTCTCTGCCTACTTGTGATCTCTGTCTGTCAAATAAATGAATAAAATCTTTAATAAATAAATAAATAATAAAAATAACATAAAATAAAATAAAAATAAATCACTGCTACGATTATAGGGAAAAAAAAAAAACCTTAAGAGATGAGCAAACCGGCAGAATGAACATCACTGAAGCCCAAGGCAGTGAATGGAGGCCAGAGCAGCCTCCTGGAATATGATGGAAAATTCGAAAGGCGAGAATAAAAGTGAAAGGATAGGGAAGATCGATCCAGAAGTTACACCTTTAATAACAGGAGCTCCAGTAGGTCCAAATGAATAAAATAATAATAACAGTAGACATCCAGGCAGAAAAAGAATTAATGCGAGAAGATGACAGGGCAAGGGCAGTAAGGGGTGACTCTTGGAAGTGACACTCAGCCACGATGCTGTCAAGTATAAACACAACAGATCTTAGGGGAAAAACTGCTGAAGTGACTAGTAAGCCTGAACAAACTCCGCTCGCCGGAACATGAACGTAGAAGCCGTGAGAAAAACACCAGCCCAAGCATGAATGCCAGCTCTCAAGCTATGAATGATGAATGTCCGGCGGAGGCACTCTGCTGTTTGCGCATACAGGCAACAGACGTTTTCTGGCATGGGGATGCTCGGTGCGTGCAGCCTCCACAGGTGTTCTCTGGGAAAAGCAAACTGTGGAGTGACATTAAGGCAACCAACAGAGAAATCAACATGAAGCCAGTAAGGAAGAAACTGGTAAAAAGGACAAGTGACAATGACCTCTAGACACAGAAGTGAGACAAGCTCACTGTGGGAATCAGTGGGGACAGATCAGAAGGTAATGAGAGTAACAACAGCATCACATCGGGAGATGGTGGGAAGTAAAGAAGTGTTTTGTTTTGTTTGTTTGTTTTTTAAGAATTTATTTATTTGACAGAGAGAGATCATAAGTAGGCAGAGAGGCAGGCAGAGAGAGAGAGGGAAGCAGGCTCCCTGCTGAGCAGAGAGCCTGATGCAGGGCTTGTTCCCAGAACCCTGAGATCATGACTTGAGCCGAAGGCAGAGGCTTAAACCACTGAGCCACCCAGGTGCCCCTTTTGTTTTGTTTTTTAAGATTTTATTTATTTATTATAGAGAGAGAGTGCACAAAAGAGAGAGAGCGAGTGAGCAGGGGCAGAGGGAGATGGAGCAGCAGACTCCTGCTGAGCAAGGAGCCCCATGCGGGACTTGATCCCAGGACCCTGGGATCATGACCTGAGCCGAAGCCAGACACTTAACTGACTGAGCCACCCAGGCGTCCCCATGAAGTGTTCATTTCCTCAGCCCTCAGAGCAAGAATTTCATCAATAATATGAAATTAAAGCATATTCTAAAAGAGTGACTCAAAGTTTCCAAATTTTCCATGTCTTTTCATAAAAAAAGAAAGCTTTATAAAATAATCTCGCATGTGCTGAAAAAAATATGTACTTAAATTTACAACTGCTTTGATTTCTTTTTCTTTCGACTTAAAGGAAAAGTTAACGCATATGCATGTATCTACCGTGTGCGTGTGCGTGCGTGAAAAAGACAGAAAGTGCGAGCGTGTGCGCATCTTTCTATGTCCTAATAGTTTCATCCACTTTATCTCCCTGGACAGCAGCAGAAAATCCACATGAAAACAAACGAAACCGTAATATTCCAGCAATCCAGTATCAATCCAACAAATGACATGGAGTTCACTCCACGACATTTTTTGTCTTTCTTTGCTGTTATGAACAACACTGAAATGATCATTGTGCGGACACGTGCTCTGATTTAGAATGAACTTGGAGAGTGGGGAATATTGGAGCAGGCGTACGCAGAACTTCCAGAAAGGCTACAAACGTGCCTTGCGATTGTGTGCATGTACCCGTTTGTCCATCGGGCTCACAGTGAATGCTGATCTTTCCAATCTTTGGTCATTTGTTTAAAAAAAAAAAAAAAAAAATCCTACCTTGTTTTAATCTGTACTGCTTTGACTACTAGAGGTTGATCGTCTTTTCATATAATTATTGGCCGTTTGTGTTTCTTCTTTTCTTCCTTCCTGAATAAGAATGCTTGGGCATTTGAACCCCTCTTCCAAAAATAAAGATACTGTAATTTATAATTTTGTCATAGACGAAATGTCTTTTCCTCTAATATGCTCTCTTTTAACCTGGTCCATGGGGTACTTTTTGGTAGGGTGTATCATCTGGAGAATATAACATCTGTAAATGAATCAGAGAAAGGTCCCACGGAGGAGAGAAACTCAGGCAGAGAAGGATTCATTATCTGGAGTCAACTCTCTGCTTCGTTTAGGCTCGGGCCCTTAGAGGAAATGCTTATCGACGGGCAGGAACATGTAGAGCAGAACGGCAAACGACAGCCACGCTGACCTGGGTTCAAATCCAGGATTCCTCGCTCATTTCTTTCTTTCTAACCCTCGATCCCATCACCTCTCTCACGTGGCTACTTCGTGGATACACGCAATGAGCAATGTCATTACTCGCCCAATACATTGTTTTCTCTGTTCCCTTTTACCAACGGAGGGGATGTTTTTATGCTCTGATGCCTGGCGTGTCATTTCTGGAGAAGAGATCTCAACCCACCTGAAATTCGGTCTTGTCCTCTCCATCCTGAGAAAGGGCTGAGGCTTGAGAGTAGAGAGCTGTAGGAGGAGAAAGAAGCCATGAGAAGAGGGGGCTCCCGCCTGGGCTCGCGGACCCCAGCAGTGTCTGCCGCTGCACACACTGGATTGTTCTCCTGCACCTCACTCTTCCTCTCTCCACGCCCGGCTCCGATCCTCCCCCACTGCTCACCCTTCCTGAACTCGCACCTCTCTCCCCAGGCCTGGAGGTCCAAGTCTCCATGGTCACCTCTCCTAGGTTTTCCCAGGGTGGCAGTGATTTCATTTCTCCTTTGATCTTCTCAAGCCGGAGAAGCAGAAGATCCAGGCCTCCTTCACTCTTGAGGTTCTCCAAGCTCTGACGAGGAGTGTCGGGATGGCTCCCTGGGCTCAGAGGGAAGGACCTGCCTCCACCTTCACGCTCCACAGCCTGGTTGGTTCCCATGCTCCAGGGACCTGTGGGCTCAAGAAGGGAACTTGACTTTATGCAGGCCTTTCCTCTGGGCCCCAGAGTTCTGGGTCTCCAGTATGGTGCACACCCTCTGGACACCGACTCGGAGGACGCTTACTGAGTCGCTGTATGCATAGTCCTTGCTCCGGAGAGACTCACGGTCCACAGAGTCAAGAACACTGCAGACGGCTGCAGACAGTCTGAGAGTTTCTGCGGGGAGGGCCTAGCAGCAGAAGTGTCGCAGGGAGACATAGGGCCCTGCGGCAGGGTGCAAATGCCACAGACACGAGACCTGTGTTTTGTGAAGGGGACTCTGGACTGTGAACGCTTTACTAACGTGATAATCCGAGCACCGCAGAAATAAGAACAATCAAACATCCTGTCCTCGGGGCGCCTGGCTGGCTCAGTTAGGAGTGTGCTACCTCGCTGGGTGCAGAGATTACTAAAATAATAATAATAATAATAATAATAATAATAATAATAAACACCTTTAAAAATCTCAGTCCTCAAGGATTCTATAAATCAAGATACAGATTAGCAAAGGTCTTCTAAATCAGTTTGTGATCTTTTCTGTTCTGTCCTGACTTACAGACTCTTACTCAGAAGAACGCTATAAATGTAGAAAACAGAACACACAGGATTATTTTAAAGCCTAATTATACTAGAATACAACGTTCAAAAATAATAAGACACCAGGGATGTGCTTCTTTTTACACATGGAAATATCAAGAATTAATTAACTACTATATTTTCAAGATAGTGATGAGCGTAAGTAACATTTTAAAACATCTGCACCAACTATAATATAAAAATATCTATGGTTTACATGGATAACAGAGTCACGGATTCTGATGATAACTACTGTGGTTTGTTGCCTGCATTCATAATGAAAGGAAATGCAATTTTTTAGTTCAACGAGTGTTTACTTTTTCCCCACTCAAGTTCATGAACCCTCTACATTACACCCATGGACTGGAGTTCAAAAGCTCTTCTAAGGGAGACCTTCTCCTGCCGCCACCAGATTAAATTAGTCACTCTGGGACCCAGAACCACTTTGTTTAAGTTGCTGGCTTGCCACCTCTAACACAGCTGCCCTGTTAAGATCTCTAAATCATCGGGACACCTGGGGTGGGGGGTGCTGTTGGTTAAGCAGCGGGTTCTTGATTTTGGCTCAGGTCACAATCTCAGGGTCCCGGAATCAAGCTCCATGATGGGCTCCGAACTCAGCGGGGGAGTCTGCTTCAAGATTCTGTCTCCCTCTGCCCTGCCCCTCGCTCACACGTGTGCTATCTCTCTCTCTCTGAAATAAATCTTCAAAAGGGGGAGGGGGGGAGAGAGATCGCTAAATCATCAAGGGAATGGGGCCTTCTTCCTTTATTCATGTTCTCCATTTTGCAAGGGCCGGGCACATCGGGCACGTTTAACAAATTCCATCACCGGGCTTGAGGCAGAGAGAAGACCCAAACTCTTGGAACCAGCCCGGAACCAGTCAGTAGGCAGCACAAACACATGGACCGCGAGTTCCCTCCTTTCCCCTCTTTGCCTGACCCACTTCCTCCTGAGACCCAAGCCACAGGGAAGGTTCAGATAAACAGGAAAAAAGCACCCAAAGGGGCCCATTCCAAGACACTCCCTACATTGGATGGCTTCGGGAGCTCACGTCTCCACTTTGCCCTTAACCATCCAGTCCCAGAACTCTGCACAGCCTGCCCCGGCCAGCGCCTCCCAGTCTCCCACAGTTTGCACACTGCCCTCCTGCACGAGGGACTGCCCTCTGAAACAAGTGTGCAAGACTGGGCCGCCTATGGACGGCCTACGGGGAGGACTGAGGTGTGTAACAGTGTCCTCCAGACCACTGCCATTGAAACCCAGCCCCTCAGGACCCTCTAGGACGGTGCTCCAGAAACTTAACCTACTCAAAAATCACCATGACAGATGGCTGAAACAGACCGCAGAGCCCAGCCCCAAAGATGCTAATTCAGCAGCTCTGCAGTGGAGCCCAAGACTCTGTGTTTCGAGCAAGTTCCTAAGTGAGGCTGATACGGCTCCTCTGGACCCACACTTTACAGAAGCAGTGCTAACACACTCGTGTGTCCTCTGCCTGGCTTGCCTGCATGGCTTTCCAGTTTACACAGAATTTCCTTGTGGTTCCTTCTCATATCCCCGACCTCCAAAAGCCAGGGCTGCCTCAAGTTTCAGTGCATGAAGTCTCTCTCTCTCTCTCTCTCTACTCATTCCCTTCCTTGCTGAACCCATCCAGCCTCGGGACGTCAAACTGGATCCATACGCCGATGACTCGAGGCCAACTCGACACACCCACTTGGCTGTCTAGAAGATGTCTCAAAATTAACATGCCCCAAACCAAGCACCCGATTTGTCTTTTCAAACAAGCAAGCCACATGTTTGTTTTTTTTAAAGATTTTATTTGTTTATTTGACAGAGAGAGATCACAAGTAGGCAGGGAGGCAGGCAGGGGGAGAGGGGGAGCAAGCTCCCCGTCGAGCAGAGAGCCCAATGCGGGGCTCGATCCCAGGACCCTGAGATCATGACCCAAGCCCAAGGCAGAGGCTCAACCCTCTGAGCCATCCAGGCGCCCCAAGCCACATGTTTTGATGTGCTCTTTGATTTTTTTCCCTCTTCTTCATACACCACATCCAACCATCAGCAAAAACCTTCAAATGCTAGCCAGAATCCGACCAATTCTCTCACTACTGTAATGGTCCAAACCACCATCATCTCTTGCCTAAACCACTGAAGTTAACTCCTAACTGGTTTCTCTGCTTCTGTTCCTGTTCCCCTACAATCTACTTCCTACACAGCAGTTGGGATGCACTTTTTTTTTTTTTAGGTTTATTTATTTATGTGAGAGAGCGCACGAGAGTGCATGTGCACAGGGGAAGGGGCAGAGGCAGAGAGAATCTCAAGCAGACTCTTCACTGAGTGCAGAACCCCGTGCAGGGCCCAACCTCACAACCTTGAGATCATGACCTGAGCTGAAATCAAGAGTCAGACACTCAACCAACTGAGCCACCCAGGCACCCCAGCTAGAATGATCTTTCATTTTTTATTTTTTTTTAAGATATTTAAAATTTATTTGACAGACAGAGATCACAAGTAGGCAGAGAGGCAGGCAGAGAGAGAGGAGGAAGCAGGCTCCCCGCTGAGCAGAGAGCCCGATGCAGGGCTCGATCCCAGGACCCTGGGATCATGACCTGAGCTGAAGGCAGAGGCTTTAACCCACTGAGCCACCAGACGCCCCTAGAATGATCTTTTAAAAAGACAAGAAAGGTATGTCACTCCTCTGGCCAAGAACTTCACCTCGCTCAAAACCTTCACCAAAGTCCTATCAATAGCCAAAAGATGCCACACTATCTGACCTCCTAATACCCAATTTCCCATTTATCTTTCCTCTTTCTCATTGGGCTCCACCACTCTGGCCTCCTTACTGTTGTTCACATAGACCAGTCAGTCCTGCCCCCTGCCTTGGGGCCTTCTCTGTTGCTCCCTTTCCCCAGTGAAATGGGCTTCTCACTTCCTTTGGGTCTCTACTTAGCACCTTTTGAGTGAAATCACCACCTGTTCACTGAAGTCATCCCTGATAATCCTACTTACAATTGCAAGTCCCTCTGACAGCCCTCCCAAAGCATCGTCCCTCCTTCATCTTTCCCCATGAACTTATCACCAAAGCTACAATCTGTTTGTCTCATTTACTATCTCTCTGTGCCCATGATAATTGGAGCTCTATGAGGCCTGGGATTTTAGTCTGCTCAGGGCACAACATGGGAACCCAATACATACATCAATGGGAAACTGGGACCGAAGTAAATTCAGCCTGCTGATATCTAGATCCTGGGATCTTCGATACCAGCTACAGAGCACAATGGTTTTTGTCCGCCATGTGTTCGCTTAGTCAGTTACATGCTAAGGACCACACTGGGCCGGTTGGGACACAGTGGTGATCGGGGCAGACAAGGACGGCGCTCGAGCAGCTGACATTCTAGCTGGGAAGACTGCACACATTCACTGGAATTCTACCATGTATCAGGTGCTTGGGTTTAAAGATACTCCTTTACCATATGGGGCTCATCCTGGGCAGAGGAAGATGACCAGTATCACTGGTGATGCGGGCAGTGGGATACAGGGGTAATGGGAATGAGACACTGGCAAGGCAGAAACAACAGGACTAGATGAACGATGACATGCGCGGATGAAAAGGAGAACTGAAACAGGAGTCTGGAGCTGAAGTTTAAGGAAAATGGGTAAATGATGGTGTTCTAATCCAGACAGCAAGACAGGAGAGGCAGGGCTGGGAAGCTGCAGGTCTTGACTCTGGATACTGGAGTTGTGGCCTGGGGTAAGTTCCGGCTCAGCCACTCTGTAGCCGTGTGAACACTCGGAGAGACAAATCACTAAAGGAGTCTGTTCCTCTGCCGTGAAGATGGTACTTCTTACTTGCAGAGTTGGAAGAATTCAGTCTTTCTCACATACACGTGGATATGCATTTGAATAAAACTCATAGGCTAGTATGTGGCACCTAGAAAATCATCAGCCTACTGCTATCATCGCCGTTAACTCATGCATCCTAGCACTACCCTAGGAATACAGGCACCCATCTGTTTAACGAAGACACATGTGGTGTCTCACTATATCTCGGTGCTGTAACAAACATTCCAGACACTGAGGCAAATAAGATGGACAAGGCACTTGTTCCTATGGTGCTTGCATTCTGGTGGGTAAACCAATCTACAAATAAGGTGATTTCTGAGTATAAAAAGGGGAATGAAGAAAATAAGACCGACTGTTTACGAACCAGAACACGGGGGCTCTGGGCAGAACACAGGAGGCAGGTGTGCGAGGGACAGCATTAATCAGGTTGTCGAGGACGGTCTCTAAGGCCGGTGTGAAAATAAATCAGCCGTGGGAAGATTTGGGATGGAAAGAGTACAGAGGGAGGGGCAGGTGCAAAGGCCCTGACTTCCGCTTACAACACCTCAGCATAACCGGT